CTCCAGCCGGACTTGAACCGTTGACCTTAACTGTGGGGGCATGGGAGCTTAACCGCTAAGCTATGGGACCCACACCCTATGAAACCCGTCTTTGATGCTCAAGAAAAAACATTTTTTTATGGTTTAATAAATTTTTCAAATCTTTCTAACCTTAATGCAGAAAGATGTTTATTGATCAGCCTAAATTAAAACCAAACCTTGTCACATATTTCAGTCTTGCAAACAGATTTTATTACATGATCCAGCATTAATGACTTGTAAAGGATGAAGCATTATGCAAAGTACAGTAATTTTCTAACTCTAATTGAAATTAAAGAATTCAACATGTTGAATTCTTTAATTTCAACCTGTGATCGTACCATTATTCCCAAGCATTATCAGCCTCTATTTCTTTATACTCTTCACCAATATCTTCATTTTCTTCAGCATCAATATTATCTAAAACCAACTCCTCATTATTTTCTTCGTTCATGTTTGTTGAATTCTCATCCAAAATTTCGTAATCGAACACCAAATCATCTTCTGACCCATCCATTTTTACAGAGATACCACAATATTTGAATGCTCTTCTAATTAAAGAAGGGTTAACTTCATTCCATGATTCCCCTACCCATTGTGCTAAAGTGACATATGATGGTTTTCGAATGTGTCCTGAGGGTGTAAATTGGTGTTGCTCATTAATCATCCATTCATTATAACGGAAATGTACCTAGCAGATTTAATAGTTAAAAAAAAAAAATCTGTTATAGGCTTTATAAAAGAATTTTTTCAGCATACTGTATCTAGAATTTTTTAAATTCGAGTTCATTTCTAACTGTACCTTTTCCTTGAAGCACTTATTGATTGCAACATTGAGGAGTTGTAGCTTACTGGTCAATCCACTTGGAATAACTGCAAGATGAGTGTTGTTTTGTTTGAATCGACTTTTAACAGGGTCTGTTAGATGACCTTTAAATGAATCTAAAATGAGAAGAGATTGTGGACACCCCAATTCACTACGCTCACACCAAATGTTATCGATCCAATATTGCATCTCATTCTCATTACACCATCCTTTTTCATTTACTCTAACAATAACATCTGAGGGGAAGTTTTCGCGAGGAATACACTTTAATTTAAAAATACACATCGCAGGAAGTTTTCTTTCATCTGCAAGACATCCAAAAATCACAGTAAAAGACATTCTTTCGTGTTCAGTTGTCTGAATGCTTACTGTTTTAGTTCCATGTTTTTCAAGAGTAACTGAATAAGGTAGATCAAAAGACAGGAGTGTTTCATCCATATTCTCAATATATTGGGTATCATACTCATATTGACGTCGTTTGAACAAAACAAAGCTTAGGAATTTGCTTTGTTTCTCAATAAGATTCTCAGGAAGGTGCTGCGCAACTGTTATGCATCGGCGATTCGACAGATCATTACGATGCAAAAATCCACCTAACCAACCATTAGAACACTTAAAATTGTCAATATTAGGATATGCATCCTTTATATCACTAGTTTTAGCCAACATTTTAGCCCTTCTAATGACCATGTTTTGTGTTACAGCTATCTGCTTTTTGCGAAGTACTTCAATCCATTGAATGAGCTTTTCTTCCAAGAGCAGATACTGGGCTGGTCTATCATGATTGAGTGTTAAAAGATAGGGTGCTGCATTTAAAAGCTCCTGTTTCTTACTTCGCCAATCATGAACTTGCTTAGGTTTGATGTCAAATTGTCTTGCAGTTAATCTCACATTTTGAATGCGTTCAAAGTAATGAACGATCATGAGTTTCTCACGGACACTCCAGCTATGCTGTAACTTATCATAAATACGAGCCCTTTTTATGATGCTTTTGTTTCATGGAGGCATTTTTTTTTTTTTTTTTTTAATGAAAAAAAAATTTTGAAAGAATTTGTTTTCATTTATTTATATCATTTTTTTTTTTTTTGTTTTTTAGAGAGAATGTTGCACATGCCTTATAGAGAATTCATGTTTAACCAAGAATTTAAAGAAAAAACCCCAATTAACAAGCCATTAGAGTTTAACCCTAAAGCCGATGGTCCTGCTCAAGTTAATTAGGCATGCCTCAGAATACATCAATACTGATTCAGGAACAACTCAGTGTTCAAGACTTTAAAGAAAAACAAGGTAGAGAAAATTATAGAAAACTCACGAGTTCAAAGAAAAAACCCAATTAACGAGCTGTTAGGGTATAACCCTAGAGCCGATGGTCCTGCTCAAGTTAATTAGGCACCTCAAGATACATCAATAATAGTTCAAGAACAACTTGGTTCAAGACTTTAAAGAAAAACATAAAAATTTTTTTTTATTTTTTTTTTTTTTTAGGAAAGTAGGAGATTATGCAAAGTATTGTTGGGAGAATTCGATCATGAGTTTGGAAGACAAAATGAAAGTATTATGGAGAATTCCATGTTTATGACAATGAGTTTAAAAAAAAAAAAAAAAAAAAAAATTAAATTATAATTTATACTTAAAATTTTGCCGATGACTAATCAACTTACATTATTAATAGTATGAATGGCGGTTTTTTGTTTTCTCTTGGTGTCATGCATAATAATTGTTTTCTCTCAGCATTATGTATAATGATAAGATTTGGCATCATAATCCAATTTCTTGGTGTTGTGCATATGAAGATTCTTATAGCTGCTCGATATGATAGTATCGAGGCAGCTTTTGTCTCGAATCAGCCTGTAACTAGGCATGTGACATGCCCTATTACAGTCACATGAGTGATGTGGCTTAGTATATTGATCATATGACTTATGAATTAGACTAGGATAACTATGTGATAATAATTACGATTTGTATTTAATCAGTGCAATTATGAGGTAATTCTTGGGATTAGTAAATTAGAGTAGTAATATTGACATATTTGAGTTTATTTGATTTTAGTATTTAAATGTTGTAATGAATAAAGTTAGAAGTAACTCTATTTCTTTTGTGAACCCGACTTTTAGTCTGGTTTTGTCGATCCCTCCCACCCTCCCATTTCCATTAAATAGATTATAATTTCATTCAATCTGTAGTTTGTGGTTAGATGGCCTGTCATGACAACAGTCATGGAAAAAATTTATTATGGGTCTTGTCACCCAATTCAGCATAGTGCATCTTTAACTAGTTATGGCCTGTCGGGATGACAGTTATTTTTTAGTATTTGCAAAGGAAGAATTATTTCATTGTATTCGATTCTATGAAACTTGCTTGGGATGCTCGATGCGGAAGGAATAAAACCTGTATGCTTCTAGTTGTTGTGTAACAAGTGTATGAGAGACAAAACAATATGGTAAATAGGGATATTCAATCAACCATTGTTCTTGACTTATATACCCCTATTAATGCCATGTACCCCCCTTATAGAAGTACCCTGGGTACTAAATCAAATTATGCATATACTCGGGGTACCCACGTCCAACTTTTATGGTACATTGTACAACAAGAAAACTTAGTACAAAAAGAACAACAGCAATTAAATGCATAATAGATAGCCTACTAACACTAGAAGAATTGAATAGAAGAAGATCAGAAATATATACAATAATGAACTGCCAAGTATGTCAAAAAGGTAAAAAGGAAACTCAAACATATCTGGCAAGCTGCAGCAGACAAAAAAGCTTGTAGAAGAGAATCCAAAAGGTGGCAACAGTAGCAGCTTGGAACAGCCTCAAAGAAAATAAAAGAGTTAAAATTCCACTTCTAGTACTATACAAAGCACTTTTTGAAAAAACAGAAGCAGAAGAAATTACTAATAGAATAGTTTTAATAAAAGGACTAATAATAAATAAGGTTGGGAAAAAGATCAATCAGATTCTAGATAGACAGGTGATACAGAAATACATAGATATAGTAACAAGAACAGTGTAGAATACATTCTATGACCAAGTATAAAGAGTTTGATATAGAAAAGTACAAGAATAAAAAAAGAAGATTAATATAATAAGCAAAATAAAAAAAGGTATTTAAGCTAAAAAAAGATCAAGAAAAAGAACAAAAAAGGATAAAATGGCAAAAGAAAAAGAAAAAGAAAAAGAAAAGAAAGTAGAAAAAATGAACTGAATGAAAAAAGAAGTGTGGAAGACAATTGATATGCTTGTTACAAAAAGAGGAAGACCTTTCTGATATAGCTTTAAGTAGTTAAATAAGCAGTCTATCTCTAACTGAAATAGTGTAGCAGATTGCACTTAGGTACCAATAGGACAGCTAAGTGATACTAAACTTGAGTATTAAAAAATTCTATATAATTATAAATGTAAATAGTTTCAAGAATCTTAATAAAGTACTAGCATAACTGCTTAAGATTAAAAAAAAAAATTATAAAATTTTTTTATTAATTAATTAAAAAATAAAAAAGTTTTATTAGTAATATATTTTATAGTTACTATATAAAATTTTTTTTGCAACTAATTATATATAGAAATGAACTACATTGTACTCTATTTAAAAAAACTTTTAATATTTAGATTAATTAAGCAATAGCATCTGATTTATTAATTTCAAAAAATTTATTATATAAAAAACATTATTATGTGATAGTTATAAATATTTCTGTTGAAGATATAAAGGTTTCTAATAATGTTTAAATGAATTTAAGCAAAAAAATAATTTAAAAGCAAATAAAATTTATAAAAAAGTTAATACTACATCACTTGAACTATTACCAAATATGCAAAATAAATTAAAAACTCTAATTGTAATATATTAACTCAAAAATATATTTAATGCTAATAAGATAGATTTTTTCTATAGAATAGAATCTAATTAAACTTTATTATTTAACTTTGTATCTAGAAAAAAAGGTAATATAAATACTTTATAATAAAAACTAAAAAATAAATATTTAAATTATTACTATAATAAAATCTATAATAATAATTTAAATATTTATTTGTTAATTTTTTTATATAGTACTTATATTTAATTTAATAAAAAAATTAAATAATTATTAATATATCTTATTAATTTTTAGAATAAAAGTTAACCATTTTAAACAAAAAAAAAAAAAATGAACTCTTCTCGTCGATCATTCGGACACAAAAAATAGCTAAAGAAAAAGAAGATTTTAGCAAAATTATCAATAAAAAACACCTCAAATAGCTCTAAACAAAAAGAAGCAGCAACAAGGAA